TATATCTGCATCAAATTCTGGACAGTGGCTACCTAAATTGAATATAGCAAAAATGTTAATATCAGAAAGAATAATAAGTCAGTAAATGAGTGTTTATCATATTCTATACAATATGCTCACAATATTTCATAATAGAAACTCTAAGTCTCTAATTCTACCACTTACATCTCCTTGCAGTTTGCCTTCTGAGACATGTCCACATATATACAGATATTTACATAGTTGAAGCCATGTTATATGTATGGCTATTTTGTATTTTTCTGTTTTCTTAACTTCATAAGTCATTTTTATTAACTTTTGTTATTATAAAAGAACTATCACGGACTATTAAAAGAAAAAAAATTACTCTCCCACTGCCTTCACATAATATATATTATTTTGTTGTCTTTCTTGGCATTCTTTTCCTCATTAATGTTTTTTCAAATACTATTATTTTTTTACTCAGAACTAGATTCCAGGAATATTTTTATTGTATAGTTGTTACTGCAATATCTTATCTAATTCTGGAAAAAAACTTTTATGCTCTGATTGCCTATAATCTTTAAGTAACAGGAGAGTTCGTAAATTTCTGTCTGTGAGATTGGATGTTTTGCATGTCATCCATTATGTTTGTTCTTCACAGTCAGCTTTTTTAGATTTTAAATTGTATTCTACAAAATAGGATGAGAAGTTTAATATAAATTTTAACTCTTTTACCACATTTTGTATTTGGTAGATCCCATTGAAGAAGAAGATGCAAATCTGCTATTTGGTTCAGTGCAAGAAGTACTGAAAGCATCAGTTATGGCTGATGCGGATATTCTTTCTGAGACATTTCAGCTTCTGATAGACTCTGCCAAGGACTTCAGTAAGAAACTGTGGGGCTTAGTGCCAGTCGGCTTGTATCTTCCAGCTCCTCCATTATTTTGTCCCCAGCCAGCTGTTCTTAGTGAAGTAAGCTTAGTGCATTATCTTTTTAACTAATTTAAAGTTGATTTTGTCCTATTCTTAAAATAACCAGCTTGACAATAGTCATCACGTTAAAAATGCAGGTTCTGAAGACAAACTTCTGAGTCCCAGCTTTGCTGTTTACTAATCGTATAATCTCAGGTAATGTACTAAACTGCTATTTAATTTTCCTTATCTGTAAAATGCAGGTGATGATAGTACCTCTCATAGAATTATTGTGAAGAGTAAGTGAGATATCCTGTAAAAGTTTCCAGCTCAGGACCTGGGACACATAGAAATTCTTTAATAAATGTTAAAATCATTGTAATATTGCAAAATTAAGAGATATTTCTCAATATCTGGACTTTTGAAAAATAGCATTTGTTCAGGGTAACAAATAAAACAATGAACGTCAGAATTACAAGCCATACACTATTTCAGTCTTTTTACTACTCTTGTCTTTTTGGAAAGACTTAATAATTTTGATTTTTGATTTGAAATGTCATTTTTTTCTCCTGTACTATTTAATTGATAGTTGTGTCTTATAAATAGCAATACTGTATTCCCCTCAGGAACTTTTTCCTCTGCTCTTATTAAAAATCATAACATTACAATTAGCTGCTTTTATGATTTAGAGTGTTATTATAAATTATTTATATTTTAAAAATATTTGATTAATACTTTGAAGTGATTCTGGTATTGTTTCTTTACTACTTCCCGTTTCACTATTCAGCTTCTATCTGTAGCTAGATTTGTCTTTACTTCCCATTTGTTATATTTAGAGTTTATTTTGGGTTTTTTTTGTTTTTTGGGGTTTTTTTTTTTTGAGACAAGAGACTCACTCTGTCTCTAGAGTGCCGTGGCGTCAGCCTAGCTCACAGCAACTTCAAATTCCTGGGCTTAAGCGATCCTCCTGCCTCAGCCTCCC